CCCCCCCCCATCCCGGGCGGAGACCCCCGAACCCCGCAGGATCCCTGCCGGGAGCGGGGGGTGCTGCCGCCCACCCGGCCACGCTGCCGAGGCACTTCCCCTTCCTCCCCTTCCTCCCCTTCCTCCCCTGCTTCCCCTTCCCGAACCGTCCTGGGCACGGCTTTGGGCACGGGGGGGGCACATCACGGCCACCGTGTCCCCAGGGACCCCCGGCAGGGAGGAGCCCCGGCCCCGGGGGGTGCCGAGGGTGGCCCAGCCCCGGCCCCTCACACCGGGGTCTTCCGGGCATCCCCACCCAAAATATCGAGGGGTTTTGGGCCGGGCCGGTCCCGGCGGGGGGGGTGGCACCGGCTGCTGTGCCTGGCCCACCGCGGCGGGTCCCAGAGCCCCCTGTCCCCATCACAGCGGCCCTGGGGCGTCCAGGCACGGCCCTTCTGTGAGCAGCTCATCAAGCAGGCCGTGCTTCCCCCAGCACGGGGACGGGGACAGGGACAGCCCTGTCCCACGGGGGGCACGGGCACACAGACCCCCAGACCCTTTTTCTGTCCCCACCAAAGTGGTCATTCTATGGGGGTCACACACCCCATGCTGGGCTGGCCATCACCCTGGGGTACCCCTCACCCTGGTACCCGTCACCCCGGTGTACCCCTCTCCCTCGTGCCCCTCTCCCTCGTGCCCCTCTCCCTGGGTTCCCTCCCCTCTCCCCAGCCGCCCCCATGCCCAGCCAGGCTCACCTGGATGGGGGCCGTGCTGAACTGGATCTTGCGGTTGGGGACGGGCTCCTCTTCCTCGGACAGCCCCGGGATCTCCACGCAGCCCGACTCGGGCTCGTACAGCCCTTCGGCCTCCTCCTCCTCCTCCAGCCCGCTGCCCCCCGAGTCCTCCCCGAGCCCGCTGTAGGCACTTATGTCCACCAGGTCCGCCTCGGAGAAGTCCTCCTTCTTGGCCTCCTCGGAGCCATCGCCCTCCTCCGCCCGCTCGCCTTTGACGCCCTCCTCGCCCGCGGCCACCCCCGAGCCCCCGTCCAGCCGGGGGGCTGCGGCCGCCGGACCCTCGTCCCCTTTGGCCGGTTGTGGCGCGGGCACCGCTTCACCCGCCACTGCCGCCGCCTCCTCCTCCTCCTCCTCGCCCTCTCCGCTCTCCTCCACCTCCACGGGCTTGATCTTGCAGACCTCCTGCACCCTCGGCGCGGCCGCCGCCTCCTTCTCCGCCGGCCGCCCGCTCTTCCCCGCCGCCTTCTCCTCGTCGGGCGGCCGTGCCCGGCCCGGGGCGGCGTGGCCATCGCCCGGGCGTGCGGTCTCTGCTCCGGGCGCGAACACCCTGGGCCTCTTGGCCACCACCTTGGCGTTGAGCGGCGCGGCCCTGCCCTGCGCCTTGTGCAGGTTGTTCCTCAGGTCGGCCTTCTCGAAGACGGCGCTGAGCTGGCTCACGGTGGGCGACACGGCGTCCGCGTCCAGCTTGTCCAGGGACTCGGTGCTGCCGTTGAACCTCACCACCACGTCCAGCTTGCGGTCCTGGAAGCCGGCGCGCTCCTTGCGCAGCAGCAGCTTGGTGGTGGTGGCCTTCTCCTGCGGGCTCCTCTCGAAGATCTTGCGGGTCTCCTGCAGCTTGGAGAAGGGTTTGTCGGGCTTGGAGTCGAAGCGGCTGACGCGCTCCGAGACGCTGGTGCCCAGCTTGAGGAGGCTGCCCTGGTCCACGCTGTCGCCGAGGCTGCCGGCTCGGGGCAGGGACAGGCGCACCGGCTTCTCCTTGGCCTTGGCCAGGTCGCAGGCGCCCTCGGGGCCGGGCGCCGTCCCCATCTGCAGGAACATGTTCTTGATCCGATGCACGTTGGAGCCATACTTCTTCCCGCGGCTCTTCTTGCCGTCCTCGCCATCGGCCTCCTTTGTGGGCGCCAGGGCCTGGATGGTGGCCTCGTAGGCGTTCCGGTGCGGGGACGCGCTGCGCAGCCCCCCGGCCCCCGCCGCGCCCCCGGCCGAGGGGGACCCCCCGGCCCCGCCGGCCTCGGTCCTCAGCATGGTCCCGGCGCCCGCATCGCTCGCCGCCACCGCCGCCGCTGCCCCCGGGCCCCGCGCCCGCTACCGCGCCATGGGCGGGGGGCTGTGCCGGGGGGCTGTGCCGGGGGGCAGCGCTGCCCCGGCCCGGTCAGGCCATGGCCATCCCGCGGGCCCCTCCGCCGCGGCGCTTCTTCCTTCCTGCCTTCCTGCCTCCCTCCCTCCTCCTCCTCCTCCTCCTCTTCCCCTTTCTGCGCGCCGGTGATGGAGCCGCCGCCGCCGCCGCCGCCGCCGCGCTCTGCCCGCCCCGCTGCCCGCAGAGCCCTCTGGGTCTGAGCAGCGCTCGCTCTTCCTCTTCCTCAGCCGCGCTTCGGCCTCAGCGCCGCCGCCGCCGCCGCAGCCCGGCCATGGGGACCCCCCTGCGGTCCCCTCCCCACGCCCGCACCGGGGTCCCCTCCCTGCGGCGGGGCCCCCCCGGCAGCCGCGCTGTGCAGTGTGGGGCCCCCCCCCGCCGGCTCGGCCGCTGCTGCCACCCCCCGGCTCTGTCCCCGCGTGTCCCCCGCTTCTGTCCCCGCGTGTCCCCCCCCGGCTCTGTCCCCACGTCCCCCTCCCCAGATCTGTCCCCGGCTCTGTCCGCATGTCC